GAAGTCCACAAGTCTTAAAGTTGCCAAGGTTGGACACCCCTGATCTAACTGGATCAGCATCATTGCTTCTGCTTAAAATCTCCCCCACTACATCCATTCATTGCCCATCAAATTAGGAAAAGAGCCGATTTTCCAATAAGGATTCTCATTTGAGAAACATGCTCTTACAATATTCCCTCCTTGCAAACTCACTCGGGTGTAAAGAGGTGGAACACGGTGACATTCCTCCGATTTGCAGTAATTTACACACCCTAAAGAGGGGCACTTGTCGTTTTTCCCCTTTCATAATTACAACACAGCAGCCTAGCCTTAAGGAAGTGAGGCTCTTTGTTATTCACACCACACATAGATTGAACAATGGGCTGCGGTGGATTCCTGGTTATGAATAAGAAGTAGCATTAGGAGCTGTGGTGGCACGGTGTTTAGAAAGCAGCACTGCAGGCTGACTCTGCCCACTGCCAGGAGTTCAATCCTGACCAGCTCAAGGTTGACTCAGCCTTCCACCCTTCCAAGGTGGGCAAAATGAGGACCCAGATTGTTGGGGGGAAGAGGATGACTCTGTAAACCGCTTAGAGAGGGCCGTAAAAGGACTATAAAGCGGTATATAAGTCTAAGTGCTATTGCTATTGGGACAGGTATGGTTTAGGGAATCTTTACTCATGTGAAGTCCTACTCCTGATAGACAAGGGAGGAAGAAGGACTGAGTAGAGTTTGCAAGCTAGGATTAGAATTGTTAGTCCCTGCAACAATGGTGTTGTTTTTTCCCTCCCCAAGTTTGAATGCCCACCTCCTTTTAGAACCTTTACAAGGGATCCTAAAATAACACTTCCTTAAAGCTTTTGGAGTGCTTCTTCCATTATAGTAAAGATTGGTAGTGGTGGTGGAGAATGCTAGATGTTCTAACCTAGCTAGGAACTGATGTGTCTTTCACTACAAGGTTGCTCCTTCAGGGACTTGAGTCTTCTCGTTGGCCACTTCCCCTTTTGTTCTCCAGACTCTGCCTATATCGTTACGGGAGGAAGGGTGTGTGTGTCTGTGTTTTTTAATGGGCTGGGGCAACTATGCCAATGCAGTCCTCCTTTCTGGCTTTCTTGAAGGCAACGTGTGAACGGGGGTTTGCAGCCATGGAAGAGACCCACCATAAGAAGATCGAGGACTTGCAGAGGCAGCATCACCGAGAACTGGAGAAGCTGAGAGAGGAGAAAGACCGTTTGCTGGCTGAGGAAACGGCCGCCACGATCTCCGGTAGGTCCAAGGGAAGAAGAGAAAGCAGGTGTGTTTTTCCTACAACTGTGTGTAGGTAGTCCTCAGCTTAACTACCAGTTGCTTAACCACTGCTCAAAGTTATGATGGACTTCCCCAGAGCTACATATGACCCCTTTTCAGAGTTATGACAGACACACACAGACAAATACACACACACACACACACACACACACACACACACACACACACTGTGGCCATGATTTGCTGGTTTCCAGTGTTTACTTCCAATTTCTGGCAAAAACAACCTCCAGTTGGAAAAGGCCACAGTGTTCACTTAATGACAGCTGCAAAAAAAAAAAAAAAAAAAAGCCTTAAAATCTGATCTGGCCTCATGATGCCTCGACTTACCACTGCAATAATTTAACAACCATAATTCTGGGCTCCCTTGCGGTTGTAAATCAAGGATTTCCTGTAATCCCTCCTTTCTTTTCCTTTCCAGCCATCGAAGCCATGAAGAACGCTCACCGGGAAGAACTTGAACGGGAGTTGGAAAAAACCCACCGCTCCCAAATTAGCAGCATCAATTCAGACATTGAAGCCTTACAGAGACAATACTTGTAAGGGAGGCTCTTGTCCAGTGTGTTTTGCTGTCTGGGGCCACATCAGTTGGGTTCCGTTGTGCTTTGCTGGCATTTGGGATGTTCTGAGCTTGTCTGCACCCTATGATTATTATCTGAGCACGCAAACACACTCCCATGCACACACAAACACCAACTCCATTTAATTTTCCCTGTCTTCTACAGCTATCCAGGTAGGGAGCATCGCTGTCCATACGAACTGCTAATGCCTCATTTATCTTCTCCGTTTCTTAGACTCCAACATTCTTCTATCTGTAGTACATTTTGTTTTTATTTATGAGCCGCTCCATAAGCCTTTGGCTGTAACGGGGACATATTTTCTGCAAATATATGTGTGTGTGCATGCACACACACAAACACACACACATAATTTATTTTGAGGAGGTCATGGAAGGGTAATAAACAGATTTATTCTTGCAGATGCACCCAAAAAATGACCTAAACTGAATTTATAGATTTGTGCTTTAGCAGAAATGAAATCCTCATGTCTGATTTGGACCAAGCTCAGTTTCTAGAACTTTGCAGATAATTTTTGGGAAAATCACTTAAGGCTTTTCTCAAGGGGGCGGCGGGGAGACTTACACATAATGACTGTCCCAGTTTTCTACTCTCTTCATCCATTTAGAAAGAGAGAGAGATGAAAAGAGAGAGAAAGATAAAGAAAAGGAAGGAAGGAAGGAAAAAGAAAGGAAAGAAAGAAAGGAAAAGATTTCAGACAGACTTTAACTCAGGCCACTGAAAGCTATTTGGTCTACATTTTTGGAAGGGAGAAATGATTTTGGGTTTTGCTTGTGGTCGAAAACAAGCATGCTTGGATTGGGAAAGATTTTGTTTTTAAGGGCTGAGTGAAGGCAATACGTCCCTGGAAGATCTAGGAGGAATCAGAACTTGAAAGTTCTCATCTTCCCACATCACACGGGTGCGGTTTCTGCCTCTTCCTCCTCACCTGCCAAGGTGGTTCCTGAATGGCCCTTCAAAGTCCAACCCACTTCCTCCTTTGTCCTGCCCTCAGGGAGGAGTTGCAATCTGTCCAGCGGGAACTGGAAGTCCTTTCCGAACAATATTCGCAGAAGTGCTTGGAAAACGCTCACCTGGCCCAGGCTTTGGAGGCGGAGAGGCAGGCCCTCCGGCAATGCCAGAGGGAGAACCAGGAACTCAACGCGCACAATCAGGTGAAGCCTACCTGCAGCCTGACACAGTTGGGCTCTAGAGCGGGGGTTTTCAAACACTTTGAGCCACTTTGAGCGGACTTGCAACTCCCAGAATTCCCCAGTTCGCCATGCTCAAGAGGTCCTGTTTTTTTTTGGAGGGGGCGAGGTGATGATATACACATCGATTCACTCTGCATGCACGATAAAGTGACAGATTCCTGTGCTCTGCAAAAATTGATGTGAAGGTTTCCTGTATTGGACAATAGAATGGTGGTGTGTTGGCATAATTCTATTTATTCTGAACAATCCCGCATTTGTGGTTTCCTTGTAGGAGCTAAACAACCGTCTGGCTGCAGAGATCACTCGACTACGGACATTGCTAACTGGGGAGGGTGGCATGGAAATGGCCGCCTCTCCTCTCACCCAAGGCAAGGATGCCTATGAGTTAGAGGTGAGCTTGTTTGTAATTGTTGAAAAGGTCAGAAATCCCTTCCTTCCTTCCTTCCTCTTTTCTCTCTTTCTTTTTTTTCCCTTTGTTTTAAAATCCTTTCCTCCCTCCCTCTCTCCCATCTTTATATTTTATTTTGATATTCGTTTTCTAAAAGGTGTATCTCCTTGACTTTCTTCCTTGCAGGTCCTGTTGAGAGTTAAGGAATCAGAAATCCAGTACTTGAAGCAAGAGATCAGCTCTTTGAAAGATGAATTGCAAACAGCACTGAGGGTAAGAAGAATTGAGAAGCGGGCATCACCTTAAGGCTGTGAACAAGTGATTTAAACCTCCTCATTTGTACACTTTGAGCTAGGCAGAGCAGTCATGTTTAGAAGTTTGTTTTAGGTCAGGAATGTCCAACCTTGGCAACTTTTAGATAGATGGATTTCAACTCCCAGAATTCCCCAGCTAACATGGCTGGCTGGGGAATTCTGGGAATTGAAGTCAATTCCAAGTAGCCAAGGTTGGACTGCTGCTTCAGGTGATGGCCTGAGACGGGAGGAACCCGGAGGATGAAGAAGAACTAGGCAACAAAGGGACACCTTCAGAGTTTTAGTGGAGATGACAAACAAACTATTTGTTTTAGTGCAGGGGTCTCCAACCTTGGCAACTTGTGGACTTCAACTCCCAGAATTTCTCAGCCAGAAAAGCTTAAAAGTCTTAAATGTTGCCAAGGTTGTGCCTGTTTTAGTGAGATCTTGGGAAAAGTGATGAACACATTGAACTAATGGCAGTTGAAGTTACTAGTAATCCCAGTTGTCTCTTGGGTGGCCCAAGGAAACCGAAAGATCTCAACTCCTGTTGTCTTTTGTCTTTTTTTTCTCCAGGATAAAAAATATGCCAGTGATAAATACAAGGACATCTACACGGAGCTCAGCATCGTCAAAGCCAAGGCAGACTGCGACATCAGCAGATTGAAAGAGCAGCTGAAGGCAGCCACCGAAGCCCTGGGAGAAAAATCTCCCGAGAGCAGCACCGTGTCCGGATACGGTAGGATCGCTGCTTCGTAATTTTATGTTTCGGGTTGCTGAATCAAAGGAAGGGTGGGATCCGATGATCTTGGGCGCGTTTTCCTGGAAAAAAAGTTGGTGCACGTTCATTGTTGCAAAGACCACTCTTAGATATCTACTTGAGTTGGACTTGGTGGGTTGAAGGAACCTAGCGTTAGAATTAGTGGTAAAATTGGATTTCTTGGGGGAGGGATATGTATTTTGGAGTGTTGTTGCCTTGAGGAGAAAGAAGCTGAGATAGTGACTTTCTTTTAACTCTGTTTGGAAAACTATGACCCGCTGGTTTTCAAAAGAATTATATTGACTTCCCTTCTTTCTTACCTACCTAGATATTATGAAATCTAAAAGCAATCCTGATTTCTTGAAGAAGGACAGGACCAGCATTGGCCGGCAACTAAGGAATATCAGGTCAAAGGTGAGTTGATGTGGTCTTTCCATTTTCCCTGGAAAACATGATTAGATGTGCAACATCTTAGTAGTTGTCCTATCGATGGGTGATTCTGCACCAGGTAGCAACATCCAACCAAACTTAGCTGTGGGCTAAACTGGGAAGGCCCTGGAGAATACTTGGATGGAGGGATCCACCTGAGAAGCCAACCCAGAAGAAAGCAGAAGCCATTCTCTTTCATAAGCGTGATGAGAACATGTAGATGAGGAGAATGTTCATTCTTTGGTGCTTTGAATTATCAGCAGTACATTTAAAGCATGAGATCTTAGGACATCGTTTCTCAAAATGTGCAACCTTAAGACATGTGGACTTCAACTCCCAGAATTCCCCAGACAGCCATGTGGAAGTCCACTTGTCTTAAAGTTGGCAAGTTTGACAAACGCTGCTTTAAGGGAACATAGTTTCCAATAGTCCACATCCTTTAGTTCCTTAGCCCATTCTGGTCCACTCGTCTCTCCTTGCATGTTGGCACACATGTGCCATTAGGAAAAGAAAGCCAACCCTGAGTTAAAACCTCCCTCTTTGTAAGCCTCTGAACCCCAGCAAAATTCTATCATTTATTAAGTTCACATTCGTTTGGATGATATCCTGCGCCATTCTCTGTGTACCACTTCTTCTTGCACCGGAAGACCTAGTTTAATTTCCTTCTGGTGCAGCGTCTCTTTATGACGGATCTGTATTTTTAATTATTATGAGGGATTTTTTTTTAATGGTTTTGTTAATTTATGGAGCCATTTGTCTTTCTTGTTTTTTGTTCTTTGTTCTTTAATTGTCTTCGCTTCGGAGAACAGTCCGTAATTGAGCAGGCTTCATGGGATAACTGAAAAATGCAGCAGGTTCCAGGGTCCTTGCCATGTAGGTAATCCAACCACCCCACCGGTTCAACGATGCTACTTCTGGAGGTTGCAGTGCACTTAAATGCATGTTCTACTGATGTTTCCATAGCTAATAAGGTTCTTTCCACCACCCACCCACTCCCCAGAAGCCATGGGGCTTGGGTGGGGTAGACTCCTCACGCCCGATCAGTGGCTGCATCCACCCTTCTGTCTCATCCTGTCTTCACTGACATCCATCACAAGTTTTCCTTGCCATCTCGGCTGACCCATGGGGAGCCTCTGTGGAGCATGAGAAGATGCCTGCATGTTGGATTGACTGTGCATGCTTCTGCTGACCACTCTTCAGGAGGCACGCATTTACAAGGGAAGGATCATGTTTGAGTTCCCTAGTTTTGGATGCTGGTTCACCTCAACTAATAGGCAGTTGGTGGCACAGTGGTTAGAATGCAGTATTGCAGGCAACTCTGTTTACTGCCAGCAATTCGATCCTGACTGACTCAAGGTTGACTCGGCCTTCCATCCTTCCGAGGTTGGTAAAAGGAGGACCTGGATTGTTGGGGGCAAGAGGCTGACTCTGTAAACCAATCAGAGAGGGCTGTAAAGCACTGTGAAGCGGTATATAAGTGTAAGTGCTAATGCTGTTGCTATTGGTAGTGTTTTGCAATTAGAAGTTACTTTACCCATTAGATATGGTGGCCCAAATCATTTGCATCTATATTGGTGTGTGTGTGTTCGTATGTTTAATACAATATAAAATTTTATATATAATTAAACTAATAACACCAACTAATATGAAGTAAGGAAGAAAAAAGCAAGCAAGCAAAAGGTGCAAGAAATGGGGAAAACTTGAAGAAAAACCATCTATATAGTTTTTTTTCTATTTTTTCTCTGTCTTCATTGACACATAGAATTGGAATGTTTTGTTTTGACCTTGTGCGATCAAATCCTACTCTTCTCTGATTCATAACAGAGGTGTGACATTCTGCTCTTCCCACCAGTTAAGAAGCCAGGGGTAAAAAATCTAGATATTCCTTCTGTAACCCCAGTTCTACCAGAGACGGCATCTTTTATGAGGTGTTAATGTATTGCCCCATAGTGACATTAGGAAATGGTCTTGGAGCAAATACGTTATAGGGAAAGGACAACTTTGTAGGTCTTGTGGAGCTGAAGGCATCTGGAGATACTTCAGAGAATCTCTAGGCGGTCACTCCAGTTAGCTGCGCCTGTGGTCATCTCGCTCTTCCTCCATCGGGTACCGATTCTCCAGTAACCCTTCTCCATAATTATGCTTTTTCTTTCTTCCGCATGATGGTAAACCTGAGGATTTGTCTCTCGCTATTTTATCTCCTCTGCCTGAACATTTCCATGTTGGATTTGGTCCATTCCACCAGAGCGGACTTTCATGGTTTGCTTTTTTTCCTTCTCTCTCCCCTCCAGAGTCTGAAGGAAGGCCTGACGGTGCAGGAGCGCCTGAAGCTTTTTGAATCCAAGGAGTTGAAGAAAGACTAATGTTCTCCTTCGTTTCCGGCTTGGCCACGTGCACCGCCTTTCTTGACGCATCACGACATGAGCATCCTTCTTCTCCCCCCACTCCCATCTTTTCTTATGACTTCGCTTCGCTTGGCCAGGAGCGGGGATTTTTTCTAGAGCCGCTCCACAGATGAACAGACCGAGCAATTCCAGACATTTTTTTCTGTCTACCACCAAAGGGATGAAATCATGGTTTCTCAGTCTTAGCCAGTTTAAGATACATGGACTTCTGCTCCCAGAATTCCCCAGCCAGCATGGGGAATTCTGGGAGTAGAAGTCCAAGCATCTTAAACTCGATGAGGTTGAGAAATACCAGATTAAACAAGTTCCTTGACATGTCCTGAATGGAAAAGTCCTTACTTTGGGCAAGAATGCAGGGAGAGATTGATGTTTCTCCTCCCTTCGATATATTTATCTCCTTCCTAGTGTATATCCACTACATTTGAGTGTCAGTATTAAGGCTCAACAGCCTATTATAAGCTAGCCCTGTTTTACTGATGTGTTGGTATCACAACAGGGCCCTGGGAAAGGGGGAGGGAGGACACACCTCCAGCTTAGCTCCACCAGTGTTGAAGAGTAACACAGCACTTAGGCGCATATATTGAGCCACTCTGGAACAAACTCAGCTTGGCCAAGCAAGCTCCCCAATGCTCCCCTGGATGGTTGGGAGACACAACAAGGGGGAAAGAAAAGACTCTGAGCTGTCCTTGATCTATTGTGTGGTTTGCAGAGATTCAGTCCTTTTGTGTAGCTTAGCAATCTTCTGAATTTATTTTACTAAGCCAGTTTAGAGCCATGGTTAAGGGGTGGCAGATTCCACCTTAGCCAGGATCTTGGAAAAACATTGCCCTTAAAACCGCTAGCAACCGTTCTCCTCTTCCAGTTGGGTTCACCTTTTCTCCTAATTTCAGTGTGTTTGGGGCATCCATCCGAGAGATTTCAGGACATTTCTCTCGTCTGATGAGGGCCAAGAAACCAGGTTTTATCCTAAAGTGCACATCCTCGTTTCTTAAAGGTGACTTTTAAAGAAAAGAAAAATGGATTATATCTGTCTTTGAGAATCTATTTGGGCCCGATTTCATCATGCAACAGTGATACCAAACTGTAAATAAAAGAAGAAAGGGCTTGCGAGAGAGGGGAGCTTCCCACGCAGCAAAGGGATTGGGAAGTTTGATTTAACAGACCTAACAACAGTAGCAAAGGTGTCATCTGTAAATTTCGGCACTGCCTGTGTGAGGGATATTCCATTGCAAAGGAACACAACCCTGAAAACGGATTGGGAGCTAAGCCCAGTTAAAAGTGGCCTTCAAAAAAAGACCAGATTAACCACGATCTCAAAGCACCTTTAGTGCTTTTATCCACTTGAAATGAAGCAGGTCTAAACGACTTTCTTGGGCCCACCCCACCCCAAAAATGTGATATATTTCTTGATGCACTGGGATCCCGAAAGTACACAGCTTTCCCAAGAGAGGCCCTGGGGTAGATTAAAATGTCTTTGCCAACCCCAACGAACAGAACCCTTTGGAAGTGGGTGCTTAAAATTTCAAGATTAACCAATCACCAGCATTATGAACAAGCTTCATTTCTGTCTTCCCAACATTGCAGATAATTCGGGTGCTCCCGCCCAATTCTACAAATTTGAGGTCCCTCAAGATTGGAGTTTTTGCTTTTACTGGGTTGAGTTTCTGCTGCAACCATCTTTAACTTTGGGACAAGCCCAACTGTGTGAAGTCTTGCTAATCTCAGCCAGGGTCGGTCCATTTTCTCTGCATGCAGCTTTTAGAACCTTTGGACACCTAGCAGTGAAATACGTTGTTCCAAAACAAAAACACCTTATGGGATCACCTGTCTCTAGAGGTAGACCTGAAGCAAAAGGATACCTTAGTATGCACTACCTTAAAGGCAGCTGGACAGAGGAGAATGTATGGATTTCTGGTGCCACAACAGTAGTAGTCTGCAAAACGTAGCTGCCCTGAATGGCCAGGACGAAGGAGACCTTCCTATCGTTACTTTAGAGGTTAGGCTTTTCTTCTTCAAGACCTCTCCTAAATCTGAGCAGTTTTCCCTATCCGACTGCAAATTGTTGGTTGAGGGCCTAGAAGTGTGTCGGTATGGCAGCCCCAAAGCAATTGCTAGGATTGGTGTGTGAACGTTGGCATAGGGAGGGCATCTCGGGCGGCTGAAGGAGAAGGCGGTGGTGGCATCTGCCTCCGCAATGGTCTTGCAGGCCTCAAGTTGTCCTCTCTCCTTCACACAGATGTCCGGAGAACAGGGTTTCTCAACCTTGGCGATTTGAAAATATCTGGAGTTCAACTCTGAGAATTCTATGCTGAAGGCTGGCTGGGGGGGTTCTGGGAGTTGGAATCCAGACATCTTCAAAGTTACCAAGTGAGAAACATCAGGGTAGAAGAATTTAATTTGCGCGATCTTCCTGCAAATTGATAGCTGTCTGTCGGCAGACAAACCAAGGGTCTCTGGGGGAAAACCCCTGCAGTTCATCCCGTCCCTTTCTCAAGAACGTCCCAATTCCGAGATGGGCCCTTCAAACATGTTTGAAAGCCGGGCAAAGCCACCCCACCTCCATTCACACAAAACTTGACTTTACTGCTGCGAGCAAAGGGGGGGCTGTCCCTACGCAACCAAGCCAGTGGGGTGTTTGGGAAAGAGCCGTATTTCTTTCATGGCTCTTAAAAAAGGCGTGTTTGGAGGCAGGTTGCTGCCTTTTCATCCAATTCTGTCCTTTGGAGATTGAAATGTGTATTCTTGATGGGAGGTTTGGCACAGGTTGGATTTACCACTGTGCAAACACACCTGAAATACAGCTTTTGGGATGTTGTCCACGGCCGATCTTGACTTTTTTCTTTTTCCTTCCCTTGTTTCAAAGCAGGACTCTTTTGTCTTTTCTTAATGACATTTTGCTTTCCTTTTTTCCTGCTAAGAAATAAAAGGAGGACCACTTGTGCTGATCCGAGCAGGCTGTTTTTCCTCTGACAGAGGCTGCCTTCAAGCAGCCCTGTGTGGTGTTTAGAGGGGGTGGGGCGGGGGAAACGTTGCTTTTTGTAATGACAATATACTTGATCAGAATCCCACTGGACTTTTTTTCTCCATTTCATATATGCAGTACTTTGTTGTGAACACTTTTGAGCACACGCACGCTTATCTCTCCTTTGTAATCCCCGCCCCGCCCATTTTTTTTAAAGCTTTGTTATTCTCTAAAAATAATTTAAGACCTGTATAGTATTCAAAGCACGCCATGTAAATATTTATTATGCAAAAACTCGCGGAGGGTTTTATGGGATGACTTTCTTTTTTAATCTTGTTCTAATACAGATTTCCTTTGGATTTGGGAAAAGGAAATTAGTGTAACCGAAACCCCGCATTGTTCCCTTACAGAATGTTGGTTGGTTTGTTTGAATGCTATAAATATATTTTTAAATTTCTCTGATCCTTTTTAGTTTTGCAAATGCCTCTCCAAAGAAAAATATGTACAGTGTTTTAAAACTTAATTGCTATACAAGTAGTTTTCTTCCTCATTCACCTCAGTAAGCTTGTAACAGACAGCGACGCAAATAGCCCGGGCTATGCAGTTATGTTGCAGTAAACTCAGTTTAATGGACTCGTAGGAAAGGCGTTTGTTAGACCTGAATGTCCATTAAATAATGAATAGGATTGTATGTATACCTAGAGCGGCCGATGGATTTTTGTCTGGTGCATTCGAAAGCTGATCAACAGAAGGTCCAATAAATTGAAGATTCACTGCATGTTCACTGAGCAATGGTGATAGTAGCGTCTCTTAAGTCATCAGAGATACACCACGTTCTTGCACGTTCACCCTGTAGCAGATTTAAACCAAGCAGTTTTCCAAAGAAATTAAGTAATGTTGCCTCTCACCGTCCATAAATTTGAATTATGCTATTCTATACTGTGGTCACAGCGTGGCAGAATGCAGCTGCTGTAGTTTTGATAGCTGCCTTTAAAGTTATGCTATCATACACCACAATGGAGCCTCAGAGGGGAAAAAATACCCTCGCTGATAGAATGTGAGCCCATGACTGACCACAAGAGCTGGGAAATATTCCTAAAGTACCTAAGGGAAAAATCTTGGGTTTGCCATAGAATTAGCTATGCCATAACTCTGCATCAGTCAATAGGATTTGCTGTTAACAGTGGAAGTCCATCTGGGTGGTGAGAATTAGGTGCCATTTCCCTTTCAATGGAGTAACACCACCGCTACTTTCAGTGTAAGAAACAACCATATATAAATGTCTAGATCGGTCGCTGAGCTGCCAACCAGTTCCTACCACATGAACTTGTGGCTGGAGGAGAGGGAGTGGGAGGCTGTGCACAAGGACGTCAGGGAGGCCCATCTTCATGGGGCTACTCATGAGCGCCTCACTTCAGAAAGTGTCTTGAGGTCACCATGTCTGTCTCTCTGCCTTAAGTCCCGTGTGAGTTTCATCGCCAAATGGACTTGATTGGATCACCAGGGCTTCTGAGAACAGAGTGTGGGAATTACTAATTCAGTCTTTCTCAACCTTGCTAAGAATTCTAGGAGTTGGTCCACCCGTCTTAAAGTTGCCACAGTTGAGAAACGCTGCTATAATCCAAACCTTCCAGCAAAATTTAAGAAGTGTAAGAAGGTGAGCCCAATTGGAGACCAGGTGGACCCTGTGAATTAGCTGTCCACTCCCAGCGAAGAGGACTCGTGGAAGTCCCAGCAAAGAACGAATCTTCTCTTTTTCTCAACGAATGTGTTTTGGATCTACTGAGATTCTGAATGGCGTCTTTTCATGCTTTGAAGGGAGCCAGTTCCCTCTTCGGCTGGTAGAAGCACCACTTTGGTCACAGTATTTATTCCTTACAAACCTTGTGTGACATGCTAGGGTTCCCATGGATGTAGCTGATGATTTTGTAAATATAATTACTTAACTATACATAAAATTATATCGTAATAAACTATTTTTGCACCACCCTTTGGTATGCTGTAATGAAGGTTTTTTTGGGCAGATGGAGATGACGCGGCCTTCAAAATTAACTACTTAAATGTGATTTTATTACAAGTTATGGGTCACGATTCTGGCTTCCCCATAAATGTAACAATTGCTAATAAGTGTAACTGAGTATACGTTGCTGAACCGTTCCAAGCATGGCAAAAAAAAAGAGAAATGGAAATAGCAAAAATAAAAATATTGATTAAACTGCCCGACTCCAGAGCCTCTTAAAGGTAAGGGTAGCTACTTCATAACTCGGGTGTTAAAAGAGTCCCAAAATATTACAATTCCATTCACACTTGCTCTCTGGAACTACAGCTTTAATCATTGGAAGAAAAAAAAACTACACAAACAAGACCTGACAAGGTGTTCATGCATTAATAGTTACCTCCATTTCTTCCAAGAATTCTCTTGCAATCTTTCTCATTGGTAATACAGTTAACAGCAAGAGTTAAATCCAACCAGTCCTAATTTCCTTTGACACAGAGAAATATTTAAACTGGGATCATACTTATGGCTGGATGTTGCCTCTTAGTGCAATACAACCTGCAGGGCGATGGTTCTGCCCCTCTCCACTTTCTGCTGCCAAGTTCATATGTTCCAGGGTTCAAATCAAACAATGCATAACAGAAACTCAGCACTCTCAACTTCACGGCTCTTTTGGAAAATAAAAGCAGACAGTTGTTCTGAGGCCTTCCTGAGCCTTTTCTCTCTTTCAATGCAGAATATAATTATAAAGATAAGTAGACAATTTGCATTCGGTTCTGCAATAATTCAGCTTTATATCCCTTCTCAATAAAGCCTATATCAAGTTCTATTCCTTGGAAAGTAAACTTACTGAACACCTAAAGAGTACACTGCTTGTGTATTTCCCGATTTGCTGCTTATCTTTTAAGATAATTATGTCGTTCTCAAATAACACAAGAAATTTTGAACTAAATGCTCCCAAATGGTTTTGGTTTTTTTTTTTTTGCCATGCTATATTTATGTCCCAGAATTAACTCTGTGCATTTTCAATCCCAGTTTTCTCATGTTTAGAAAAAAATGTATAATTGGCAGGATTGTAGTTTTCCCAAATCTTTTCAAATTCTTCAAGAAAAATGTTCACCACGGCCTGGTCTTCCACCACCAAGACGTTCTCTTGGTTGGTCTGGATTGCTTGGGTGGTCCAGTTCAAAGAGCCCGTGATCAGCACCTTCTTGTCCACGATGGCAAACTTATGGTGCATGTAGCCCTGGTCCTGATCGTGGCGTACTGGAATCCCTTAGAAAGAAGAGAAAACCCCATCAACACCAAGGATCTGGCTGGTTGCTCAACTAGGTTTGGGAGAGTCACCTGATGACAAGGTGAGTGGCATACAAACTTCACAATCTTATATAATTTATGCTGATGGGTATCTTTACGACCAAACCACCTCATCTTTCAGTCTTTTTATCACTCGCTTTTATCCTCAATCCACTTGCCTTAGCCCAAATCTCCCCCTTTTCTTCTTCCACCATGTATCCTTTTCCACCTCATTGCTTATTTTTACCTTTCTCTTCAGCCCCAGCCCAGCGAGGCCAAAGAAAGGCCATCAGGATGCCAGGGGCTGTGGTGGCCTTGCAATGATGCCCAGAAGGGCTCAAAGACAGCGGGGAGAGCCTCATGCCCTTGACCCACCCCTGGTTTCCCTCTCCCCAAGGGCACAAAATAACCCTTTTCACCGCTTTTGACCACATTCACATTTAGATACCACCTCTCAAGACTTGAATGCTCCTTAGGGCTGTTGGGCAGGGAGGTTAAACCAACGCTGGATTGCCTTTATGGCTTGAAATGGAAATGTCACAAACCCAGGCATGTGTTCAGATGTAGGGTTTGGGGTTTGAATCCTTTTGCCTGCCCTTCAGCCTTCCCATGGATAGGTTTGGGGTAAATCAACCCTCTCCACCCCCCAAATTCACTCATTACATGTCTCTCTCCTTGCCCACTTTCCATTCCAAGGTAAACCCAGGACTACCCCTCCTCCACACATCTTGCCGCTGGCTTCTCCACCTTTCCTCCCAATGACTTCCTAATGGTTCATTCCTATTTTCTCTCTCTGGATGGATGGTTGGTTCTATTTGTGGTTTTGTTCCTCTCCTCCTCCTTGTCCCCCTCCTCAGGATACCAGATGTGTGCCCCCTCCCCCCAATATCCTAAAGCAGGGGTCTCCAAATTGGGCAACTTTAAGACCTTTAAGACCCTTCAACTCCCAGAATTCCCCAGCCAGCCACGACAGGAGGAATTATGGGAGTTGAAATCCACAACTTCAGTTGCCATGGTTGGAAACCCTTGGCTTAAAGGTGCAGTTGTCAACCTTTGTCCCATTGAAATGGACTTCAACTCCCAGAATTCCACCGGACCCGTCCATCTCCCCGCCCTGATTTTGTCCGCCCCTCCCCCCGCTTGGAACGCGCGATGGTTCGATCCGAGGTTTCCTTTTTTAGCCCCTCATTGGTCACCGGCGCTCCGGCCCCGCCCACCGCGGCCCCGCCCCTCACCGGCTCTCCTCAGCGGCCCGACCTGCGAGCCGCGTAGCGCCATGTAATCGGCGTCGACGACGAGCCGGATACGGACGCCGCGGCTGTGCAGGAGGAGGACGGCGCGGCCGAGCTGCGGGCTGGAGAAGGCGAAGAGGCAGAGGTCGAGCGAGCGCCGCGCCTCCAGCACGCGCACCAGCAGGCGGCCTAGCGCGCTCTCGCCGTGCGGCAGCGGGCACACGCAGGGCGCCCCGGCCAGCAGTTCCTCCGTGCAAGTCACCCTCGAGGGGAAGAAGATGACCTCGCTCGCCGTCGACAACGACGCCCGCCGACGCTTCAGCAGCCAGCCCAGCAGCACCTCGAGCGCCGCGCCCAGCCCGAAGGCCAACACGACCCGCAACATCGTCTCCTCAGGCCGCGCGTGCCTGCGCCGCGCGCTTAAACCTTCCCGCCTCGAGAGGCGCGCATGCGCGCTCCACTCGGAGGAAAAAGCGCGTGCGTCGTTTCCCCTTTAACTTGGTTGAAAAAACAGCTATAACTATGATTGGGAATGAAAATTAGTGACAATCATAGAAGAAAGAGGCTAGGTTTCCTGCATTTTTTAGAACGTTTAGTGGAAATAATTAAATTTGGAAAGCCAAATTTTATTGTGCTTCCTAGGATGTGTTAAAACATCATTTGATTTTTTAAAAGCCAGTATTTTTCTCTGGGAGGAAAACTTTTATTATGTGCATTTTTACACACAGATTAAATAAAAATTCAACACAAACATGAATTACACAATAAAGGAAAAATCATAAAATATTTAAGAAATCTTTCTGAAAACAAGTAGTTATAAATATTTTGACATTCACAGAACTCTTAACAAATTAGGATCTCTTATTAATCTTTCTCCCTTTAAAAAACAATCCATATAAAGTATGTTCGGAATTACTTTTCTTGCCAGAAAAGATTTATAGAGTTTATGAGTAAGAAGCTGTACAGTTAAAAATATAAAGAACTGAATCTCATGGTAACATAAAGAAAAAACAATGTTGCACTGTAAGTCCAAAGGTCGTAAAGTTACTAAGGCTGGACACCCCTGATGTAGGTAGTTTTTTGGCCAACAGGCCTTCATCCTTTGCTTTTCAGTCTGTCTATGCAGCGTTGCCACACAATATCCGAGCTCCTTCATATCACACGAAATAAGTGGATTGACAAAGAGTTCCCCAAGGGCAACCCAAGAGTTCTCCTGGCTAAGTCCGAGACTCCAGAGAAGTTGGACTGCGAACGGTGGACATCAAATGTGATTTGTAGGTCTTGCTCAAGCCCGTCATCCAGAACTTCAGAAGCTTCACGTTATCCTCTTCGGAAGCCCCCAAGATGCTCAACAACTTCTGGGTATCTTCTTTCGGCCTGCTGTCCACCTTGGTGAACTTAAAGAGGACCTTCACTTTACTGCAAAAAATAATAATTGAGCAAAAAATAATAATAATTGAGAACCATTTGTTGCAAACCAGGACCCGTTCTTCCAAAAAGGAAATTTCTAAAGATCACACAGCACGCCTCCCTTCCTTCAAGGAAGCATATTCAAGAAATACTCTAGAAGACAACTACTTTTCCACCAAAAAGTCCACCTTACTTCATCCACTCCTCCTTCAGGCAAATGAGGCACTGGTCCACCACATCGACCGAGAGGTTCTGATTCATCAGAGCAGCTTCAATCTTGTTCAGGATGGTCGGACCAACTGCAGAAGGGAAGGAGGACTTAAAACATCATCCAATTTTTCTTTTATTTTTTTAATCGGCACTGCACTGTTGAGATACCCATCCATCTTTTTTCTCCTGCCATTTCCAGCTAGGTAACAAGTGGTGCAGTGACCTAGAGGTGGTGCTCTCATCTCATAATCAGGAGGCTGTGAGTTCGATCCTAGGTAGAGGCAGATATTTCTCTCTCTGGGCACACAGAATATATCTGCTGAACAAAAACTCTGCATTGGTGACAGGAAGGGCATCTGGCCAGTAAACACTTATCTCCATTCAGTTGCCCGGACTCCACCCCGCAAAGGATTATGGGGTCATTAAAAGATGATGATGATGATCTCCAGCTAAGTAACAAAAGTATGTTCCTTTTCAAAAATTTGTGAAACTTTTTAATTGTCAACTACAAATTGGACAGTGTTGCAACACTACCCAAAACGGCTTGGATGTAACATGCATGGCTCACCTCTGTCTGCTGCCAGAGGGCTGCCACTAGTAACCACAAACTCATATTTACTGAGGGGCTGGTCTTCATCAAAGAGGACAGGGTAAAGGCTCAACCGTGTGGCGGGGCGAACTTCCACCAGAACAGCAAACTCTGGAGCGAAAAACAGAATTTCTTCATAGCACCATCGTCAGATTTATACGAGCAATAGAGAGAGCCATCCCAAGTGCCTAAAATGCTAATGTTTCTGTCTATGGAGTTTCTCAGTCATCCAGGTCATGGTTGTCCCAAAGGTGCTTTTTTTTCTAAGAGGCAACTGGACTTTGTTTTTTCTTGTTTTCTTCAAAGTCCATTTGCCTCTTGGAAAAAAAACCACCTTTGGGGCACTAATGCTCCTGCATCCGAAGCAGCAACCTGCATCAATCTGAAGACCATCTGTTTAGCGCTCGTTTGAAGTTATAATACCACTGAAAAAGGTGACTGACAACCAATTCTTGCACTTACAACCATCGCAGCATTCCCAGTCATGTGATCAAAATTCAGGTGCTTGGAAACCGGCCTGAATTTACGGTGTTTGCAGCATCCTGGATTTATCTGATTGCCATTTGCAGTCTTCCTAAGTGGATTCTAACATTAAGTCACTTAGTAACTGCCTTGCTTAATGATGGAAATTCTGGTCCCAACTGTGGTCGCAAGTCAAGGACTATCTGTAGTTTATGGATCGTCAGGGTGTCCAAGACAAGGAAAGGTTACTACTCATCTTTTCTACCAGTCTGAGGAAGACAGGAAAACGATCCCTCTTACCTGAGGACAAAATGTGAGGAGGAATTTTCACTTGAGGGCCAAGCCCCAAAAAGTTACACCGGTAAGCCTCCTCGTACTGGTTGCTATACGGGATGATCCGGACGCAGCCAACCGGAAGCATGGTCTAGCAAAGGAAAAAGAGGCTGGTGAGAGTCCAGTTACCAGCGCAGGTTTTGTGCACACAAAATGGTTTGCAAAGCAGGACGGAGAAAACTGTTTGAATATGGGCAGAGGTGACAGATTTTATGAAAAATCCGGATCTAAAGATACAAAGTCCTAAAATGATGTATTTGCCATTTCAAACAAATTTATACATTTTATTAAATCTGCATGCCACCCATCTTGCTAAGAGGCAACTCCTAGCCAGCTTCCAACCAATTAAGAACAAGAAAAAACATTTTAAAATAATAAGTATTAATTCTGAAACAGACTAAAGATCAACGCAGCTAGATCTACACGGGCTGGAGGTGCACGCGAGACATCCATGCTATCATGGAATAACAATAACGTTTTTATGGTTCCTACTTTTATATACGACACTCAGTTTCTAGAGGCTTGGAGTGGTTGGCGACACTGATTAAAATTGACCAAAACCAGTAATGCAATTCTAAACAGTCTGAGGGACCATCATGCAGGCTCACAGAGATGAGAACTTTGCATGTATGCCATCAGGGCAGCCCAGCCAATCAGAAATCCACTAAAAGAGGACAGGGCGGAGAAAGGTAATGTCGTGTTTCATACCCGCAGGACATCAAAGGCGGAGTGGATGAGTTCTCGATCCTGCGCTTTCCAGATTACCTGGTTGCCCATGAGAACGTGCCAGGCCAGCATGCGGAATGCCGACGATCCCAAGACCTGAGAAAGACACAATAGTTTTAAATAGTATTTTTGCCTTTAATTTTACCTTACACCAGTGTTTCTCAAGTTTTAGCAACTCTAAGAGGTCTGGACTTCAACTCCCAGAATTCCCCAGCCAGCGATGCTCGAGAAATACTGCTTTGCACCATGCTTCGCAAGTTCTGGAAGTATGTGCTTTTATATTATTTATTTATGTTTATTTATTATTTATTTTATTTTCTCTGTTGCTGTGTATTTTGGCAGCCTCCTAAAATGTCAGGATGGGCAAAGGCCCCTCTCCTCGCCCAGTGATCCAATGGCCATTCCTTGCCTGTCTCAAATGCCGGAGGGAACGGAAGACAGACTGACTCCCGCCTGGCCCGTTCCAGCTGCTGCAGTCTGCCAGAAGACCGAAATCAGCCTGGTTCTTCATTTGTCCAGAACCTTCTTGGACGTCCTTCTGACTGGTCGATTTTCCATTTTCTTCCTCTGAGTTATCCCGGGCTTCTGATTCTTCCTCCAAATCTCAAGAGAGAGAGAAGAGTTTGAACGAAGGCTACTCGAGTTGCTTCCTGCACAAGGCAAGAAATTGGCTTTTTTACAAACGAGAACATCCATAAAAAAACGGCTTCTGCCTTTACCAGCAAGTTTTTCCATCTGCACCAAGGTGTCCTCTGTTGGGGCCCCCTCCAGAAGCTTCTCGGTGAGCCTGCTGCCACAGGCCTTCAGCAGCCTAAGGGTATTGGAAAGGGGTGTAAGCCCACTGGATATGAGAGCAGAGCCTGCACCCAGATTTCCATGTCAGAGGTCTACCAAATGCATTCACCAAGCAAAGGAAGTGTGGAGACAAGCCCACAGGTTCTCGTCGTTAGTGAGCGAAGTCAGTGAGCGAGCCGCGTTCCCATTCCGCTGATGCAGAAACGGGGTGAAGGCCGTGTTCATGCGTTGGGCACGCTGCGGACATCCGTACTGCTCAGCTTCAAAGACCTGAGAAACCAAGAAGCAACAATGGAAAAAAATATAAGTTGAAAAAGCAAAGGTGTTTTAAAAACCCAGCTATGCCAAAATTTATCATTAGCCAAGAAAGCAGCAAGACCTTAAAAAGAGGTCTTGAAAACTCCAGACAAAGAGTGCAGAAAAGAGCAACAAAGGTGATTAGAGGCCTGGGGGCTGAATCATGCAATGAATGGTTGCGGGAACTAGGTATGTCTCGTCTAACAAAGAAGGACTGAGGGGAATATGAGAGCAGTCTTCCAGTATTTGAGGGGCTACCACAAAGAGAAGGGGAGTCAGCCTATTCTCCACCTGAAGGCAGGACAAGAAGCAACGGATGGAAATTAATCAAGGAGAGAAGCAACATGGAATTAAGGAGAAATTTCCTAATAGTGAGGACAATTAATCAGTGGATTGACTTCCCTCCAGAAGTTGTGGGTGCTCCATCACTGGAGGTTTTCAAGAAGAGACTGGACAGCCAGAATGGTATGTGGATTCCTGCCTTGGGCTGGGGTTGGACTAGAGGACCTCCAAGGTCCCTTTCTGCCCTATCATTCTCAAACGTCTTTGATTTCCCTCCCAGTCTGCTGCCCAGACCTTCAGAGCTTTGCCCTGCAGCTCGTCCACGATGCCCCGGATCTTGCCCAGGAGGAAAGGCCACGAGTTGATGAGGTAGATACGGTCCATCATGATGGTGATGATGCTGTACCAGCGCTGGAAGCCCCGAGCCAGGCTGTCCTTGATGAAAAAGGTGTGGCTGAAGACGAAACCGTGCTGCTCATCACCGAAGAAGATGGGACCTTCCCGTCCGGGACAGACCTTTGCAAAAAAAAAAAAAGAGCCAAACTCCATCAAAGCCATCGTGGGCACCAGAAATTCTTAGGCACAGCCTGTCTGCGACCCCCTCCCCCTCTCAAAACCGTTTGGATAAAAGGCAAAAGTAAAAGCACCCATGGTGGCATCTCTTCTCGAAACAGAGGAAGCCCTGCAACCTTCAAGTCTCCTTCCAATCTTAGCTTCTGCCATTAATCTTATCTCTATTTATGTATTCAGTTTCTAGAGCTGCCCACCTCAGTCCAGGACTTTACGCAGCTTACAATTCCAAAATTATAAAAAACAAAGTGACGTTTTAAAAAAACAATTTTAAAAAGATGCAAACTACCCACGGTAGTTAACCAGTGAACAGCAAAGCCAAGAAACGGGGAATTTTCCCGCAAAATTTGGCAAGAACCCTTTTGAGTTGGCGAAGAGGTTCAGTTGGATCCAGTGGTCGAGGCACCTGGCTAGAAAGCAGGAGACGGTGAGTTCTAGTCCAGCCAGGCATGACTGTCAGCCCAACCCGCCTGACAGGACTGTTGTTTGGGGAAAACAGGAAGAGGAAGGAGTATTCGGTATGTTCACCGCCTTGAGCTGTTTATGAAAATACCAAAGGCAGGATGATAAAAATAGAAGTGAACAAAACAGCAACCCAACCCAGCCGGCTTACTTCACAGCTGAGGCTGCGCACACAAGCCTGGCGCACAATGCTGAAGAGCTGGGGGTGGTTGGGGTGCTGGTGGCTGATGTATTTGATTGACGTTTCCTTGTCGTGGCTGATGTAGCCTGGATGGCCGACAGGAAGGGAACGACAACCCTAAGAGGTGGAGGGGAAATAAAAAAAGTTAATAAGAAATAAACACTAGGAAGCACGATGAATTCCAAAAACTGCAGTCAAAATGTGAATAATTGTGGTCACATGACTGCATGCCTGGCTAGGGAATTCTGGGAGTTGAAGTCCACCCATCTTCTAGTAACGGGACAGGTTGAGAAACTTGGACTAAAGCAACGGGAAGTAATGTCCTTAAGGGAGAAACAACCATCAATTGCAAGCTGTCACTCAAAAAGCCAATTTGGATCAACGAATGGCACAGGGACTCCCGCAGAGGGGAGGGGGGACTTCGGGGGGCAGAGAGAACCCACTTGCCTCGCACATGTCCGATTTCTTGGGGCCCGGGCTGCTGGAGTCCATGCTGGCGCCATCGGCCGGGCTGTGGGAACGAATCCTGCTGCTCATCTGAATGCCGCCTTCCTCATCCTCCACCTGTTCGCTCTGCCCAGGGCTGTCTCCCCCCGGCGGGCCCTGCGGCAAAGGGGCATGCAAGACCTCCGTGCAGAAGAGGGTGCGAGGGCCGTGCAGCTCACAGAAGTGGCACAGCACCACGATGGCGTTCATGGCTGTTGCCGCCGCCGCTCGGCCAGCTGCAAAAATGCCAAGAGGTCCTCCTGTCTTGGTTTTGTGCAGTTCGTGATGCGCATGCAGGACGTCTCTTGTCTTCCCAACAAGAACAACGACCCTGTGAGGGTGGACACGGCTGAAGGGGGGGACTGGTGCAAGGTCACCCAGCTGCCGAAGGTTCTTATTTACACATGTACACATACAAACATAGATGAGATATATCGTAGGTAGGTGGATAAGTAGATAGATGAGTGATATAGATAATATAGATGATACATTAGATATAGATAATATTAATCAGGGGTCTCCAACCGTGGCAACTTTAAGCCTGGCGGACTTCAACTCCCAGAATTCCCCAGCCAACTGGCTGGGGAATTCTG